TGGCAAGTGCGCAAAAGAACTCGCTCACAATAATCGTGCACCAGCCACGTCAGACCCACCACTGCGAATCCGGTAAGCCAGAACATGGTGAAGATATCGGATACTCACGGACAACATACAAAGGTATCAGGCTGCCAATAACGAGCGGGATATACTGACTGACTCCCTGCGAAGCCATTGTTCGGCGCGCCGAAGAGAAATAGAGGGAAAGAAAAAAGATAATCTTCATAGATGAAGGATCCCTCGTTAAATAGAGCCTCTCGGGCTGTGGGTGTAATCAAAAGATCCGAGCTCGACATTCGCCGCCGCATCGCAGTGATTATCGTTTGAACTGGCACAGATCACGACGAGTGTTCCCGAGTGTGAGCCAGATAACCGTTTATGGATGAGCACCATGTGCCAGACTCGGAGGAGCGGAAATACGGTGTCGATGAGGTTGGCATTCCGGAGAAACGCCAAGATGTCGCCACGATTATTAATACGCAATGCCATGGTTGCCCTCGAGAAGAATGTGAAAAGGACTCGAGAAAGAAGAATACATGGGGAAAGTACCTGGGTTCTACAAATGCTGGATCATAGGATGCCTCAGGTTTCGATACAAGGTGAACCTGAGGATAACGGGAACTCAGACTCTCAGTTCCTGAGTTCGATGAATCGGTCGGTCGTGGTGGTTAAAGGCAAGCTCAGCTTCGTCAGGTACCATCAAGACATCAAGATGGCCGCGTTCTTTGAATCTCGGCTTCACTTTCCCATGAGGTTGTGAGCCTTGCTTGACCTAAGTGTCGCAAAAGTCTGTTTTTGGTCTACATTGCCATAGGATGCTCTGTTCGTTTAATAGGCGGACAGTGCAACCCCAGAAATTATACAATACCCACTGCATTCCCTGACCACCTACACTTGATTTGCGTAGGTGTGTGTATATCCAGCCTAAATGAGCATAGCTCAGCGTAGCTCTGTCTAGTTGAGCTACACAGGGTCTATGTAGGCACCTATGCTCATCTAGGCTGGATATACACAGATCCATCAACTAAGTTTAGGTGGTCAGGGAATGCAGTGACCAACGCGATCTCCGAAAGTTACGGAAACACCGCATGAGCCTGCTGCCTTGTCCTTGAACAATGCAAAGGGCCGAAAATCCGTCGCGGTGCCTCGAATGTCGGATCTGGATTCCTCCACCGAGTTGCTACCGAGAGTCGAGACTCACAGCGCATCCAAATCGCAAATTCGGACATGCATGGCGATGCCATCAAATTCCCGTGCAGCCACTCAATATTCAGTACTTGCTCAGTACACACGATTCGCGATCCCAAAAGACATTCGTAGATACTGATACTTGATACTGATACGTGATACTTATATGACACACACAGACAGAGCGGATAATATAAGTACGGGCGAGAATAATTACGGGTGAGGAGCAGGAAGGTGAGTAAGGGATAGATAGATGCAAGAGAGTGCAGAAGGCAAGGAAGAGGAGAGGAAGGAAGAGAGGAAGGAGAGAGGAAGAGGGAGGGAGAGAAAGGAAGGAAAGGGGGAAAGAGAGGAAAGAAAAAAGTATGTACGTGCAAGGTATGTATGGCGTATATGCGGGGAATGGGGAAAAATGGAAATAAGGTGTCGAGATGCCAGATGAGCAGAACGGGACGCTACGCGCCCGCGCCCTCCACCGCATCCTCGTAGTCCGACGACGATGGCGAGTCCGCCTCCGTGCGCGCGTGCCCCTCCGCCTCCGCAGCGAGCTCCGCTTCCTGCTTCAGCCGTTCGCTCTCCACCCACTCGATGTACCGCTCGAGCCGCTCGAGCGCGTCCTCCTCCCGCTCGCCCTCCCCGCGCACTAGGACGAGGTAGCTCTCCGGCACGAGCGCCCGGCGCTCCCCCACCCCAGCGCCCGCGCCCGCAGCGCCCGCACCGGCGCCCGCTGCCACCGCCTCCGCCCACATCTCGCTCCACACCGCGCCCGCGTCGCCCCTTGCCCCCACCCGCCGATGCACCTCCAACAGCCCCAGCCCGCTCACCACCGCCGGCTCGCGCTGCCGCGCGACCGCCCACCCCGCCGCGCCCCCGCCGAGCACGTGCACGAGCTGCCCCTCCGCGAGCCCCATCTCCGCCGCGTCCTCCGCCTTGAACGCGAACTGCGCGCGGTAAAGCCCGGGCTCCACGCCCTCGCCCTCCCCGTCCCCTTCCCCACCCGCGTCCCCGTCGTACGCCTCCTCGTAGTACAGCCCGTCGTCGACAAAGTTGCGCGCAAAGTCCGCGGGGCCCACCCCGTCCCCGCCATCCCTATCATCGTTGGTGGACGAAGAGGGCCCGAACGTCATGCGCCCGCGGCCCAGCAGGAACCCCCCGTCCTCGAACCCGTCCCCGTCGTCCTCCGCGCCCTCGTCCTCCCAGTCCGATAGCGCGCCCGCGCCCTCCTCCCCGCGCAGCCGCCGCGCGAGCCGCGCGGGGTCGCACGCGGGCGGGACGTCCGGCCCCCCGCCCGCGAAGCGCGCGTCGCTGCTGGGGAACGCGAAGTCACGGATGGCGATCGGCGGCTTCGCGGCGGGGGACGGGGGCGCGGAAGAGGCGAGGGAGAGGTCGGCGGCGGTGGTGCTCATACTGAGGCGGTGGCGCGCGCCGGCAAGGACGCGCGAGGTGCGGCGCGAGGCGGAGCCACGGGAGGAGGAGGAGGAGGGCGAGCGCGCGAGGGCGCCGGGGACGGCGGAGGCGCGACGGGAGAGCGCGGGGGAGGGGGGCGCGGGGCGCGAGCTGCTGGGGACGCTGGACTCGGAGCCGGGGGCGGGCGGGGGGAAGGAGACGCGCTTGGCGGAAGGCGTGGACGGTGCGGAGAGCGTCGGGGTCGATGGGGGGTTGGCGGTGGAGATGGCGGCCGGTGGTGACTTGGCGGTGGATGTGGACGTCGATGCGGATGCCGACGCCGACGCGGAGGTCGTGTGCGTCGCTGCGGTCGGCGTCGTCGCTGACGGGGGCGTCCCCGGCGACGCGGCGAGGAACGGCCGTGGCGTCGTCGGGCCAGGCGACTCCGCGTCGCGGGCAATCCGCCCGTTCGCATTCTGCTCCTGCGGGCGCTGCTCGTCGACGGCGCCTTCCTCGGAGGCGGTACGGCTGCGCGGCGAGCGGCGCTTTCCGGACGGCGCGGGCTTCATGGCGAACTCGTGCGCGCCGGGGATGGGGGGCGGGAGGAAGCTCGAGGAGGGCGAGGGGAAGGGCGAGGCGCTGGGGGGCGTGTCGATGCTGAGGGAGAGGTGCGGCGGGTGCGGGTGTGGGTGCGGGTGCTCTGTGGGAATGAGAAGGGATGGGGTAAGCGGCGTATTTTGGGGCGGTTACGAGATTAATTAGAGAGACGAGAAAGATATTAATTAGGCGAGAACGAGAAGAGGGGTGCCGGTGGGGGTGGGAGTGGGGGGGGAAAAGTAGAGAGAGCAACTGTAGCACCGCAGCGGAGCACTTCTGAGATGATAGCCAATCATGGCATCCATCTGTCCACAGCCTCGACTGGGATGAATACAAGAGACTCGAGTCGCGACGTGCGATATACATGGCCCCGATGATAGGTCTGATCGTCGCCCACGATCCACACCCTCCCCGGCGCGGCAAGGGGATAGAGCCAGAGTGGCATCGCAGCGCGATATATAGCCCTCGACGAGATGCAATCACCCCATCTCATCACGGTCTTCTGTCCACCGCAATAGACAATCAGGACACCTCCAACGCGCCTCCACACGCCCCTCGGGATGTGTACATATCTCCTGCACCCTCGCCACACCAAAAGACACGCAAAAAAGCACACAAGGACGCACCTTGCGAGTCTGAAACCACAGCAGACGCCATCGTCCTGAGTACTTCGACTATCCGCGATACGAATCTCCCCGTTTTGGTGTCCGCGCGAGTCTCTGAGTCAAGTGCGAGCCAGTCGTACTAGGAAGAGCAATGCGCAGTCGTGCTCCTAAGGCGCTTCAAGTAGGCTGAGCGCACAAAAAGACGGTACAAAGGGCCTTGGTTGCAGTGGAATTTATCGGGGTACAAGGCGAGGATAAAGAGGAAGCTAGCAGGCAGCACAAAGGCCCAAGTCGCGAGGCCGAATACGTGTGCGGATGAGGGAGACCGAAGAAAAATACGGACAAACTCGGCCGTATTCGGTGTCCGGACCGAGCTCCGCCTTCAAACCACCTCGCCCAGGCTTCTGTATGTTCCCGTCGGCTTGACGATACCCTCATCGCCTACCGCAGTCCACAGCATATTCACTCTGAATCCCTGTGTGCGGTCAATCCCCGTCGTCGTCAACCACAATCTTCTTGGAACCTTCTCGTTGTCTGCGCAATGCACACCTCTTGCCGCGTCTTTCCCAGAACCTCCAGAGCTCCAGACGCCACAGCTCTTTAATTCTCCGGATTCCTTGCTCGCCAACGGACTCCCACAGCTACGACCCGAATTCTCTTGGAACAGCCGGCCCCTCACAACGGAGACTCGGCGGACTCAATGCAAGAGCCCAATTGCACCGGCACTTAACCGCTGCTCTTCAAGTTCTAAATCCAGTTACATCTTGAAATGCAGTGGAGCACAGAAAAAAACAGAAAGTCTTTGGGCAGCCTGGTTGCAAAAAAACGCCAAACGAAAAACGGAACGGACACCAACTACGCATCGACGGGGAGTCGAACCCCGCGACTCGGCCTTCACACATATTTTACCGACCACACGCTGGCTGTGAGTCTCCAGTACCCCACCGATGCTCTTCTACCTAGCTTCTGTTGCTTGATTCAACTCGGAATTTGGGGCGATATCAGAGAGACGCTGCAAAAGGGAATATCCCAACCCATGCGCCGGCAGGGAGTCGAACCCCGAGCTCAGCCATATATATAAAGTACGGGATGATATTATCTGCTGGCTGCGGGTTTCTAATATCCCACCGATGCTCTTCTGCCTTAATTCTGTTACCTCCTTTGCCTCGAAATTTGAGCGAGAATGGACGGACTGCAAAAAAACAGAATACACACCACCTACGCATCGACGGGGAGTCGAACCCCGAGCTCAGCCATAACCCTGTACGGCTGGCACAGTATCCACTGGCTGCGGGTTTCCAATACCCCACCGATGCTCTCCAACCTTCCTTCTGGTACTTCCTCTGACTCGGAATATTGAGCGAGAATAGACGGACTGTGCCAAAAAATAACCTGCGTCTCGACAATGCATCGACGGGGAGTCAAACCCCGAGCTCAGCCTTATCCCAATACAGCGGGCGTATCCACTGGCTGTGGGTTTCCAATACCTCACCGATGCTCTTCTGCCTTAATTCTGGTACTTTCTTTGCCTCGAAATTTGAGCGAGAATAGAAGGACTGTGCAAAAACGTGGAGGTCCCAGCACATTCATCGACGGGGAGTCGAACCCCGACCTCAGTCATCATCTTCAATACCTCTGATACGCACTGACTATGGGTTTCCGGTACCCCACCGATGCTCTCCTATCTTCCTTCTGGTACTTCCTCTGACTCGGAATATTGAGCGAGAATAAACAGACTGTGCCAAAAAATACCCTTCTTCTCTCAACCAATGCATCGACGGGGAGTCGAACCCCGAGCTCAGCCTTAACAGTATAGCCGCCATATCCACTGGCTGTGGGTTTCAAATACCCCACTGACGCTTGTTCCTGTTGATCTGCCGGTCCTTTTGGCCCATAATTTCGGTAGGCGAAAGACACTGAAAAACATCTTCCCACCTAATGCATGACCGACAGGGAACCGAACCCCGAGCTCAACCATATATAACATTCGTAATGACGCCATCCGCTGGCTGCGGGTTTCCAAATACCCCACCGATGCTCAGCCTCCTACCTTCCTTCTGGTGCTTCCTTTCACTTGGAATTTTGAGCGGGAATAGAGAGACACTGCGGGGGACAAAAGGCCTCTGTCCCACCCATGCATCGACGGGGAGTCGAACCCTGAGCTCAGCCATATATAATCTTCGCGCCGATTTTTCTATCCGCTGGCCGTGGGCTCCCAGTAGCCCACCAATGCTCTCCTACCTGCCTTCTGGTACTTCCTTTGACTCGGAATTTGGGGCGATATCAGAGAGACACTGCAAAAAGGAATAACCTCCCAAGTCATGCGCCGACGGGGAGTCGAACCCCGAGCTCAGCCATAAACAACGCAATCATGAAACTCGCTGGCTGTGAGCTCCCAATACACCACCTATGTTTTCCAATCTTGTTTCTGGTACTTCCTTTGAGTCGGAATTTTGAGCGGAAGAAGAGGCTACAAAAACTGGTGTACTGCGGCATGCATCGACGGGAATCGAACCGGACCATCTCCTCCACGACAGCTGTGGGTCTCCGATACCCCACCGATGCTCTCATACCCTGCCTGTGCTGCTTCATTTGGGTTCGGGTTTCGCGCAGCATGCGAAGATGCTGTAACAAAAAAAAGGCTGCCACTGACGCTACATACAGTCGAACCACGAGCTCAGTTATATAACATTCGTAATGACGATAGCTGCTGGCTGTGGGTTCCAATACCCGATCAATGCTCTCCTTTGACTCGTTGTATACAACAAGGAAGTCTGCATTGTCGATTCCGGCGTTGGCCTGACCATCCATCCTGTTTAATTTTGTTCAAACGATAATAGCGGCTTCAGGGGACACTGAAAATTTCACTGGCAGTGAAAATATCTCATGAGCGCAGCGTTGCCGGCCCGATTTGATCACGAGGGGATTTCACTGGATTTTGAACAGACCGACTGGCTTGCAGCATGGTTCTGCATCACCAATTCGCAATATTCAGTCGAGATGGAGAACAGCTTTGTGAAGCTTGGACTGACAGGCCAGATAGTGCTCACGGTCAGAGAGGCGTCAAAGACCCTTGGATTCGAAGGATAGATATTTAGATATGCTGCACAGAATTCAAAGCCCCACCGGTCCAACCAACTCAGGATTTTATCCATTCAATAAGTTCGCTTGAGGTCTTGGAACGAGTCTTGAACGAGTCGAAACCACATGTCACATTCTGAGGGACCACGAGAGTAAGAGGTCGTAGACTCGTAGTAGCTAGCACATTTGAGATGATGTCGGCCGAAGTAAGAGGATTTTGGAGCCTATTTTAACTTGAAGCTCGGTCGCGTGGCACGTAATCTCCTCCTCAAGAGTCAACCCAACGGCCTGCTCCAGAGTCCAGGCTCCGTCTGGACAATCCTCAACTGAGTACTAACTCACGAGAAATCATTGCCTCAACAAGCTTTTCTTTCCCAAACTCTGACTTCACTGATCACCCGAAAACGTCGGCAGCTTGGCGCTAGGGTTGCCATGTGGCTGTGAGCATGCAGTGCGGCCATTGCGCGACGGTGATACTCGTTTTTACTGCAGAACGTTTCCGACGGTTGCCGTACTGGGCGCGGAAGGATCATGAGGCGCTTGCGAAGCATGTACGTAGGGTTTTAAATTAGTCCAGGCACACTGTCAACCATCTCGCTTCGGCACGTTCATTGCACAGCTATCTATAGATACTGGACAGCTATATAAGCGCGGACCTTAGCATATCAACCTATCAACCCTTCCATCTTTCCGTAAGAGTCTCACAAATGCCTGCACAAATGGTGAGACAGTATTCCACCTGGTATAAATCGGTAGACTGAGCCATATAGGATCCTATCTCCGATGATATGCAAGAGTCCTTTGGGACATCTGGTGCAAACGAAAGCAGGGTGAATGCTGATTTAGTGAGTCAGTCAAGGGATAATTTGAGGCTGAGCTAAATTATTCTCTCAGGATTCGGCAGAGGTTGCAGAGTTCCGGCAGCTCATACAACAGACACCCGTGGGGCATCCAGATCTTCCGCAATATCAAGAAATTTTGGGAAATGCTTTGGCAGAGAGATACCAGAAGTTGAAAAACTTGAAAGACCTTGAAGAGGCCATTCTGAATAAACAGGCAGCACTAGCAAGCCACCCCGATCGTGCACAATGCCTGGAAAGTCTTGGTCACTCATTCACTGATCGTTATCAGAGACTGGGAGATTTGAAGGATCTTCAAGCTGCAGTGCAAGCTCATCTGGAAGCTGTGGGTTTGACACCTCAAATACACCCTGAGAGGTCGGGACGTTTACACAGTCTTGCAGTGGCTCTCAGGGATCGATATCAGAGACTTAAACAGCTGGAGGATCTTGAAACTTCTCTGCAGAGAGCTCAGGAGGCAGTAGACCTTACACAGGTTGACCATCCCAATCGAGCAAGATATCTTCAAAGTCTTGCACAGTCTATCACAGACCGATATCAGCAGCTAGGAGATGTGGATGATCTTGAAGCAGCTGTGCAACTAGACCAAGAAGCTGTGGATCTGACTCCAGTGGATCACCCGGATAGACCAGAGCATCTCCGAAGCCTTGCAGTGTCCCTTACTGATCGGTATGACAGATTGGGAGAGCTAGCAGATCTTGAGGCTGCTGTGGAAAACGAGCTAGAAGCAGTGGATCTGGTCCCGATAGACCACCCTGGAAGGCCAAAGTTTCTGCGGAATCTTGGAGTGTCCTTGGCAGATCGGTATGATAGGTTGGGCGACCTGGAAGATCTTGACATTGCTGTGGAGAGAAAAGAGGAAGCAGTAAACCTAATTCCAGCAGATCATCCTGATCGGGCCCATTATCTGTATAGCCTTGTGGTGTCTCTTATACAGCGGTATGAGACACTGGGAAATTTACAAGATCTTGAGGATGCAGTGCAGAAAGGTCAAGAAGCAGTGAGTGTGACTCCTGCAGACCATCCTGATCGGGCAGAACGGGTGGTAGCTCTTGGGGCTTCACTCAGACACCGATATCATATCCTACGCAACCTGGATGATCTAAATGCTGCAGTGCAAGTATGTGAGGAAGCTGTGAACCTCATACCAGTGGATCATGAAGCAAGGTCAATGTATCTACAGAGCCTGGCAGCATCTCTTACAGCTCGATATCAACAGCTCGGAGGCCTGGTAGACCTTGAGTCTGCAGTGCAGAGAAGACAGGAGATCATGGACCTGACTCCAGAGGACCACCCTAATAGGGTACATATTTTACACAACCTTGCTGCATCTTTTCATGATCGGTATCGGAGGTTGGGGAACCTAAAGGATCTCGAGGCTGCAATGCAACACTTGCAGGAAGTAGTGAACCTGACCCCAGCAGATCACATTAGTCGAGCTCACTATCTGCAAAGTCTTGCACTGTCTTTCAGAGATCGATATCAGAGGTTGGGGTACCTCCAAGATCTTGAGCTGGCAGTGGAAACAGATCAAGAGGCAGTTGAGCTAACTCCAGAAGGTCATCCGGATCGGGCAGAAACTCAGGCAGCTTCTGCAACCTCCTTGAGAGATCGATATCGGAGGTTGAACAACCTGGAGGATCTCAATGCTGCAGTGAACCGATTTCAGAAAGCAGTGAACCTCACACCAGCAGACCACCCTGATCGGGCAACATATCTGCAAGGCCTTGGAGTATCCTTTGCAGATCGTTATCAACGGTTAGGAGGTCTGATGGATCTTGAGGCTGCACTGCAGAGTAAAAAGGAGGCAGCGGATCTAACTCCTGCAGGCCACCCGGATAAGCCAGGCTGTCTGCAGAGTCTTGCATTCTCTTTTAGGGATCGGTATCAGAGACTAGGGAACATCCAAGATCTTACTGTAGCAGTGCAAACAGATCAAGAAGCAGTACACTTGACTCCACCAGATCACCCTGATAAGCCAAGCCATCTGCAGAGCCTTGCATCATCTTTGAGAGAAAGGTATCAGAGGTTGGGGGAACTCAAAGATCTTGAGGAAGTGGTACAAAGAGCTCAAGAAGCCCTAGCATTAACCCCAAAAGAGCATCTAGCAAGGGGAGAACTTTTGTCTATACTCGGGATGTCTTTACAACAAAGGTATCGGCGGGTGGGGGACCTGGAGGATCTTGAAGCTGCAGTGCAACAAAAGCAGGGAGCCTTGGACATTGCACCAGTAGACCACCCTGCTAGGCCACAACTTCTGCAAAGCCTTGCAGTTTCATTTACTGATCGTTATCAGCAGTTAGGAGATCTGAAGGACCTTGTTTCTGCAGTGCAGGGGTTTCAAGAAGCTATAGGTACTATGCCAGCAGACCACC